ATAATAATAATATTTAAAGTTATTTATTTTATTAAACATCGTTCACATTCTTACAATTAATTAAATAACATTATTTGAAGTCTTATAATACTTGCAATTTGAAATTCATTATAATTATATTATCTAGCAAATATAATCGAGAATTGCGAGTAGTTCGGGTTGTTTAAAATTAGTTTGTTATGCTCGACATTGTGCAGGTGACAAACTTGATTACTATAGATGCCATCGAATGCATAATGGAGTGTCCTCAAAGACTGAATAAACAATGGAATGTATCTTCCTTATTCATCACACCATTAACGTACTTTCACTACATTACTCATTGTTGGATGGCTTTTCATATATTTAATACCTTCAATACACTCGTTAACGGTTAAAGAATGTTGTGTAAAAATGTTAAAATTGTTTTTCTCTCTGAAGAATTAGAATTCAATATTAATTTTCTATAAATTTCCTCCATTATAAAATTTATATCTATAATATTAAATATATTAAATTTTTTTTCCATTATATATACATTTACAAATGATTAATTTTGTATTTTTTTTTTTAATGAAACTCGATACAAAACCAATTCTGGATATTTTAAAATTGATCAATTAATAATATTATAAACATGTCAGCACTTACTTTAAGAGCTTCAAACTTAAGTTATTTAAGATTAAATAAAAGTTTTCTCCGTCTGATAATGTTGAGTATTTATAACTTGTGTCTAGCATATCTTTTATCAAGCACTCATCAATTTTCTTCTCTATCTTTTATATTTATCTTCTCTCTCTCTCTCTCGCTCTTTATATATTTTTAAATCAAAATTCAAGTCTACATACTTTAAACGTTATATTAAACAATGATGGTGACTAAAAATATGAATTTATGTAATTTGCAATTATGTTAATATCATAATTTCAAATCAAGTTTTAAGTATTGGAAATTAAATTATAATTTCAAATGTTTAAAAGTTTGAATATTCACGATTATAATTAATAGTCGTATTTAACAGTATCTGTTCTGATTTAAATATCAATCGACATTAACTTAACAGAACATAACATGGGATTTATTCACGGAAGTAAATATACTGATCAATCATTTATATTGTTATTGTCTTTTATATCAACAGTTTTATTCATTGTATTTGTATAAAACTCAGTCAAACTACTACTACTACTACTTGTTTATGTATATTTTATAAACACGAAAAAGAAAAAAAAAATAAGTAAGAAGACTCTTATTACATTTTCTAATAAATTAAAGATAAAGCATGAAAAAAATATAGAATATTTCAAGGATTATTTTCTGGAGAAATTTGTTCTGACGGGATTTTTATTCCTGCTCGATGAACAATTTGTTTTCTTTCTTGTTCGCCATTAAAGAAATAATAAGCGATCGTTTAAAGAATGCGCCTTCATGTCTCTTCGTGAATTCTTTAAAATGAATGTTATTTTTGTTTAATAAACAGATGGAATTGCGTTTTATAAATTTATTCATAAATTCAAGAAATACTTTTTATTGTGTTTCTAGAATCTGTCCATAAAATGCCATGCGAAGTGTATTTTAGGAACAGTTGTGTTTAAAAAATAATAATAAAAATAAGCACGAATTCACTTTAATGTAAGTTAATTTGCAGGGCCGTCTAAAGGGAGATTTTTTTCGCTTTCGTAATGGTTCCTACCACTATAAATTAATAATTTTTGTTTAAAAAATAAAATATTTAAGACTGCTTTTTATTAACAATGAAACGTTCTACATATTTTATTTATTTAAGAAATAAAAAAAACAAAAAGGACACGGTTCTACCCGAACNAACGTTTACGAATTAGTATCATTTATTTTTATTTATTTACTCTGTAATTAAAACTTTCATTAATAATGATAATAATAATAATAATAAAAGCGAAATCCAATAAACAGACTGATAACTTAATCCAACGTATTTGAGAATGGATCTCGGATGTTGTAACACGGTTAGTATTGGAAAACTGTTTAAATACGTTTACAATTGTTAAGAATTTAAAACAGATAAACACGACAATTCTTAAAATTTTCTGCATTATTGATAATCCGTGCAACCGTAAAACTTCCTAGAATCAATTGGAAAAGGATATAAAACTTCAGTTATGTCCGATATATAAAAGTTAAATTCCGAAAGTCCAATATCGGAACGTGATAAAATTACTTAAAATACTAAAAGTATGTATTGTAATTCCAACTTTGTAGAAAACAGGAAATTTCATCATGCAGATGATATTACTAATTACGTGACAAACTATTCCGCCCATAGAAAGGAAATAAACGTTACAGGCTATTAATGAAAAGGATTTTCTGTGACTATCTCAAAAATTAATCCAGATATAATCGGATGATAATTAATTTAAATTCTAAATATTGTTTGTGGGGGGAAAAAAACTAAGAATTTAATTCATTAGGAAAGAAGAGAACGAAACAAAAATTACTAAATTTGGTTGCATAAGAGAAGAAAGATTAACAGAAAGTTCAGTTGAGAATATAAATAAATTAAATAATTGTAGGAAGAGAACTTGCAGAAGTTCAATGCAAGTTGAGTTAGGATCGATTGCTAAATCGATAACGGTAGATGAAATTGGTAAAAAAAAACAACAAGCCTCCCAAACGGTGATAACATATAAAGCACATAAAATATTAACCATTAAAATTGTCGTTTAAACTATATTGTAACTTCCGACTGAAAAATTTATTAAATTAGAATTTTAGAAACTTTAAAAATACGTAAAGCTTTAAAAAGAAAAATTAAAATATAATTAAGGAAATGAAATGTAGATAAAATTCAAGTGGGGGTATATAGAACTTAATAGGTTATCTATGCAATCATTCATCATTGATAACGAACAATTGTTTAAAAAAGCACGTATTTAATGAGATTAAAAAGAGTATTGATGTCTTTAAAGGTCAGCAAGATATATTATCATTTCTTTCTGGTTACATCAATATATAGGTTATATAAAAAATGTTCTTTTCATAGTCTATGGAAGTAGCATTACTTATAATCGTTCAAGCTGACCACAAGTTGGTAAAAGAGTGTGTCTAGTATCAAATCTTCTAATGGATCTTAAAGTCATTTGAAAGGTGTAGAAACGATCTTAAACTTTTCGGCATCAATGGAGGAGTTGTAACAGAGGTTAATGGAACTGGAAAGAATCAAAAGAATGGAAAGGATCGTTACCAAATTGAGAAGGTTTGTGAAAATATTTTTTTTTTCAAAAAGTAACAATTCTTTCGATAAAAAAATAATAATAATTATAGTTGCTCGAAACCTCTTTAATTTATAAAATATCTGCTTATATCTGCTATGGTTTCTGACGATAAAGAAAAGGAAAAACTGAGTAGAACTTGATGATGAGACGTTGGAGAGTGCTTGATGAGGCGGAACTATATATTTGCAAGTCGTTAAGATCAGAACGGTGTTTCTTGGGATGTATCTTATTGACTTTAATTATCGATCTTCCGCATTCAGCATTTATCGAATAACTTGAAATAAGAATGACTTTAAAAAAACATTTAAATCTGAATTTCGGGGATTTTATTACGGATGATATAATTTTAAACGTGTTGCAAATAATACAAAAGGAATTATCATACAGAACTGTGTAGTAAAGAAGCGACAAAGCAGGAGCTGCTGTTTTCTGAAATGGATAATGCAGTCATCTAGTTGATGAAGCGTAGCATCTGCAGAGAATCTTGTCAAGAAAGATGTAAAATACTATCAAGGGAAATTCTTCATAAAAAAACCTCAGTTAAATTTAAAAAAAACCTATAAGAAAATCTTTTCACTACTACAAACTAAATTTAGATTTACACAGAAAAAAATTTTTACAAGAAATAATGTAATTTAACAACGAGCAATTTTGGATCACTTAAAATTTTCTGGACTATAAACATTTCTATGATACTTGTAAAAAAAGATAATTGCATTTAGGCCTATAAAACAAAACTTAAAATTTTCTGAACACCATTCTTAATCATTTATTATTTTGTCATGGTCCAGAAGAGAATATTTTCGATTTAAGAAAAGAAAAAGTTCAGTACTAAAGTCATCCTAATTACGGTGTTCATGTAATCAGTTTAATTCAAACAACGGATGCGACATTTGACACGCAAATTCCTTTAAGTAACACGCAAAATTGAGATTAGCATGTGATTAATATATTTTTAGTGTGCTAATCCTATAATTTATTGTTGTTTTAGGATTGAATACAAGAGAAAAAACAAATTAAAGAGTTTCTGGAGCCAGATCTTAGTCAAGATGACTGTATAACTGAATGCTGAAGTAGTTTTTTTAATGGATTTCTTCAGTCATGATTTGATGTATACTGTATTTAATAATAAGCACTCGTTTATTTCGTAATAATTAAGTACGTGATTGTTTGAATAAGTTATAAAAGCTAATGCAAAATCCATTTTAGCATCATGATTCACTTAGTAATAAATCGATTGGACTTCGATTTTCAGATGGATCAAGCAGATAAGAAACTGATAGTTATTTTTTTTATGTACACGTGGTGTGGACCTTGCAGAATCATGTCTCCTGTTGTTAATAGATTATCAGATAAATACGAAGATAAAGTACTATTCTTAAAGGTGGATACGGATGAACTAGAAGACATTGCACGTGAATATAATATAACGGGTTATCCAACTTTTATCTTCGTCAAGAATAAAAGCAAATTAGATGAACTCGTAGGAGCGTATCCAGATAGATTAAAAGATATGGTTAATAGACATACATAAAATTATGTAAAATTCAATCTACATGTAAATATATTATCAGAACTTTACGGAGCAAGATGACATTAATAAAAATTCGGGACATCTCGACTGGAAAATAATAAATTTAATTAATAAACGTAGTGTATTTTTTTTTTTTGAATATTTAACGAAGTAAATGAAATTTAAGAATTAGGAAAGATGACCAAACTAGATAGACAGGTGCTCTTTTACTTCACCTGTCTAACAGGAAACTTGGACAAATACTAAGAATCCGTGACAGGTAAAACATGTATAGTCACGAAGTTGCTTGTTTTTAGTATAATAAGTAAAACTAAACATACTTTATTCCGTTTTACAATTATACTCGCGTATAAGAAAAAAACAAAAAAAGAAGCAACTTTAGTCTTGATTGATTATGTTATAAATCAATCAAAATTGCATGTTATTTTATGCATGAATGATAATATAAAAGTAAATATATTTACAGTACAGTATGCAAAAAAAATTTTCATAAATTAAAATTTCATTTTTCTGCAAATAACTTTGTTAAACCGGATTTTATTATTGATTTATGAAATATTAATATATTAAAGTTTAAATTTTTAATGTTTACGCTTTACTTTTAATCCGTTTTTTTCGTCCAGATTAATTATTATTTTTTTTTTAAAAAAAAAGGTTTTTTTTTCCTTTTTATAAAACTTTCTACGTAAAAAAATTATGAATTTCTTAGGGGTTATTTATCCAAGTTGCTAGTCCTTGAAGCGACGAGTAATTTATCTGCAAGTGGAGAGCGTAAGGCTGAAGTGGTTTCGTCTGAATCTTTTGTACTTATGTTTGTTCAGCCTCAATGGATGTATTGAAGTCGTGTTTAGTTCGAGTATTCAATTTTCATAAGACATAAGCGAACGACTGTTGCCCTTCATCTGCCTATATATACTTTTTTTTTTTTATTTTTTTTAATCTTACTTTTCCCCTTTCCTTTCCATTATTTTAGCTTTAACCTTCTGACATGTCCTCGGCATAGTTTCCTTTATCCAACCTATCCGCATTGTTAACAATATATTCTGCACAATGCGTAAAGGTTGTTAACATTATAAGAGTATTATTGTTAAGGATATTTCTGACGATTAATAGATTTGTTTGCGCAAATAATTTACTGGATTTAAAGTATATTATTAAATGAAGTTTGAATGGTTTAAATTCTCTTTCAAAGTTCGCTCGATGAATAATCACAAACAGTTGGCGAATTCGATTCGCTCTTATGTAAATATCTTTCTATTATGTTTATCAAGCGTGAACCGAAATCACGGTTGAGGAAAGGATGATAAACAGATTTTCGATACGTTAAAACTATTAGTTGAATATAAGAACAGGGGAAGGAAGCTCTAAGATTGTCATTTTACATAAACAAAACTCGATACTGAACGTAAAAAAAAAAACACAAAAATATAAGCAAGGGTGATCGATTGCTCTGCTTTTCTCTATTCTTAGGCTACACTCAATGGAGTGAAGTATTTGATCTTTGACCATTTGGAGTCTAGAAAGGTAACGTCTCCCACGAGAGTGGACGGAATAGAGATAAACAAATAGTCGTGTAGTAAAGTAGAAGTAATTTCGTGACGGTAGGACAATGACAGTGATATCTAGGTTGACTTTGAACGAATCGAACTGTTCGATCTGTACCCTTATTCTTTTCTAGTCCCAGAAAATGATTCTCTTCCCTCCCTACCGGCTTTAGTTGTAGGTTTCGAACTAATGTCTCTCAGCAAAAGACTGGTCGAATTTCCAATAATAAGCGTAAAATATCGGTAACAATCTGTATTATATATCAAAATTGCATCATTTTCTATATCATTCCAATAAAATATATATCATTGGTTGGTTTTCCCCTTCCAGATGAATAACATTTGTTGTGTTTCTCTCATATTTTTAATGTCATCGGTTGTATTTTTTTCTCTCTCTCTCTCTGTTTAGTCCTTCGGTGATGAAGTTAGTTATTTATCGACTCGTAAAAAAATCTGATAATAAAACTAATGCTTTGGTTCTAGCTTAATTTTTATGTTTCGATTTTATAGTTAATGAACTTGTATATGACACATTTTCTTTTAATAGAAAAGATTGTTTGTTTTTTTAATGAAAAGGAGCTCTTACGTGGTATTTTTGCAGTATAAGCTATTTTTTCAGCAATATTTTAGCGAAGTGGTTTATTTTTATATCACTTTAAGGTCGAAAACCGTTCATTTTAACCATTCGATTAAAATTAGTATGCTGTTTATTCGAAGGAAGCCGTAATTTTGTATATAATCGATTAACTTAATCTTGTATTACTATTCGAAAAACTTGAAAAACTTTCATAATGTTTCGTTTGTTAATGCCATAGCACTGAAATTCGATTTAGATATAATTAAAACTTCATATTTTGATATATTGATTCTAATNAACTTGAAAAACTTTCATAATGTTTCGTTTGTTAATTTAAAAGAATATTTTATTATCAGATAATACGGGAATGAAGAGATTATAAATTGGAAAAAAATTATTCATATAAAAGTATTTTTAGTAAGAAATGTGAGTTGATAATGAATATTTTCGTAAGCATTAAAAATTTAGCATGTTAAATTTTCCAATATTTAATGGGATGTTTTATATATTTTATAGAATTTTTTTCCGTCTCTCTCTCTCCTCCTTATCCTCCTCCTCTTTTACCTCCTTCTTTCCTCTCTCCCTCCTAACTTTCCTATCTTGTCTTTTTCTATATCTTGTCACTTTCTGATCGATGAACGTCTTCTGCATCTGGGATATTGAAAGAAAAATAATATAAAATCGTATAAATATGCAGAATGGCGAAGGATTGTCAAGTGCATTATCAATCCCTCGGTCAGCATTATCGGACATGTTTCTCTGCCTTGCCACCAGAGCGCGCCACCATCGACCGAAACACCCCGCTTTATAAAGACGAGTCGGGGGTCGTTTGCATGCACGTGAAGACCAGACGATCAGCTGAATGCATCATTTATTACAACAGCATGTATTTATTCACCATTAAGATATGATTCGACGTCGGGTTCGGTTATGAGAACACTCCACGGGGATTAGATAACTCTCAACCTCTAAAAGTGTCGTAAAGGTAAGACGAATCTCTCAATTTAACCCATCCGATGATATTACACAGAAAATTTCGTAAACGATTATTTATTTACAATTTATAACAGAATTCTGTGACGTAATATAATTTATAAACTCGTTCGTAACAATATCCATCCGTAAACTAGTTCCTAAAATTAACCTTGAAGTCAATTAAAATTTTTAATGTTTACGCTTTACTTTTAATCCGTTTTTTTCGTCCAGATTAATTATTATTTTTTTTTTAAAAAAAGGTTTTTTTTTTCCTTTTTATAAAACTTTCTACGTAAAAAAATTATGAATTTCTTAGGGGTTATTTATCCAAGTTGCTAGTCCTTGAAGCGACGAGTAATTTATCTGCAAGTGGAGAGCGTAAGGCTGAAGTGGTTTCGTCTGAATCTTTTGTACTTATGTTTGTTCAGCCTCAATGGATGTATTGAAGTCGTGTTTAGTTCGAGTATTCAATTTTCATAAGACATAAGCGAACGACTGTTGCCCTTCATCTGCCTATATATACTTTTTTTTTTATTTTTTTTAATCTTACTTTTCCCCTTTCCTTTCCATTATTTTAGCTTTAACCTTCTGACATGTCCTCGGCATAGTTTCCTTTATCCAACCTATCCGCATTGTTAACAATATATTCTGCACAATGCGTAAAGGTTGTTAACATTATAAGAGTATTATTGTTAAGGATATTTCTGACGATTAATAGATTTGTTTGCGCAAATAATTTACTGGATTTAAAGTATATTATTAAATGAAGTTTGAATGGTTTAAATTCTCTTTCAAAGTTCGCTCGATGAATAATCACAAACAGTTGGCGAATTCGATTCGCTCTTATGTAAATATCTTTCTATTATGTTTATCAAGCGTGAACCGAAATCACGGTTGAGGAAAGGATGATAAACAGATTTTCGATACGTTAAAACTATTAGTTGAATATAAGAACAGGGGAAGGAAGCTCTAAGATTGTCTTTTTACATAAACAAAACTCGATACTGAACGTAAAAAAAAAAACACAAAAATATAAGCAAGGGTGATCGATTGCTCTGCTTTTCTCTATTCTTAGGCTACACTCAATGGAGTGAAGTATTTGATCTTTGACCATTTGGAGTCTAGAAAGGTAACGTCTCCCACGAGAGTGGACGGAATAGAGATAAACAAATAGTCGTGTAGTAAAGTAGAAGTAATTTCGTGACGGTAGGACAATGACAGTGATATCTAGGTTGACTTTGAACGAATCGAACTGTTCGATCTGTACCCTTATTCTTTTCTAGTCCCAGAAAATGATTCTCTTCCCTCCCTACCGGCTTTAGTTGTAGGTTTCGAACTAATGTCTCTCAGCAAAAGACTGGTCGAATTTCCAATAATAAGCGTAAAATATCGGTAACAATCTGTATTATATATCAAAATTGCATCATTTTCTATATCATTCCAATAAAATATATATCATTGGTTGNTAAGAATTCTATCACCTTGAATAATTCGATTATTTTATTGTCTCTACAGAAGTATACGATGTCTATATTTCCTTATATTCCTTATTAGTATGATTATTAAATAAATAAACATAATTTAATTTACTCATTTGATACTGTTATTACTAAAGGTTATGACCTGCACAAATATAGACATTTATTCATATATACTGCTATAGAAACATCATGAAACATAATCAAAGTGATAGGATTATTATTAACATAGTAGAATTCATTAACAGTGTAAATATACAATAAATAGAGGAACGAATTGATATGATCTAAATAAAATAATTTAACATGTTTTCGAGATTGGGATTGGGGATGATGGAGTAACATCATACATCACTACATTGCATTTACATACACATCATGATTAAATTCTATATTGAGTTATGTTTATCGTGTTTGAGGGTGATG